TGTGCCACCACCGCCCGGCTCAACTGCATGTTTTTTTTCTGACCACATGAAGACTGGCGCGGCTTAGTGGCATCATAGCTCACACCTGTAATCCCACCACTGAGGCGGCTGAGGAAGATTGCATAAATGTGAGACTAGATTCTGTCTCAAAAAATATCAAGATGGGCTGAAGAGATGGCCCCGAGGTTAAGAGCACCGGCTGCTCTTGTGGAGGACCCAGGTTTGGTTCCCAGCATCCACAAGGTGAGTATGGATTTTTCTTTTCTTTCTTTTTTTTTTTTTTTTTTTGGTTTTTCGAGACAGAGTTTCTCTGTGTAGCTTTGTGCCTTTCCTGGAACTTGCTTTATAGACCAGGCTGGCCTCGAACTCACAGAGATCCACCTGCCTCTGCCTCCCAAGTGCTGGGATTAAAGGCGTGCGGCACCACCGCCTGGCCATGGATTTTTCTTATTTCCATTTCTATTTGTAAATAAAAATGGTCGAATTTGAAAATATCCATGAGATGCCATCTTAATTTTAACTCATATATTAGAAGAAGCGAAAGTTCACCAAAAGATGTTTTATTACAGGCAGACTAGAGGAAGGACCCAATCTCTTCCCTTAGGGAGTCCAACTGCTGCAGCCCTCAAACTACATCCAAATGAATCTCCTTCATCCGAGTATATTGCTGTCCCCTCTCCAGGGCCAACCCGAATGCTCAAACCCTCCCCGAAAGTGAGGCCAAAACCCTTGGTAACTGCTGCCATGGTGTCCCTTGAAGCCGCATTGTCAAGAGAGACTTGTCATAAATGACCTGGTCCATCCAGCAAGACTCAGTTTCCCAGCTCAGAAACAGGAAAAGTTGTTCTTAGGAACTCTCTGGAAGGAGGCAGCAAAATGTTCATGTAGGAACCTGGAGCTGTGCAGCCCAGAGAGGGGCGTCCAGGCCAGTGAGAAATACAACAGCACCTGCTTGCTGCCTTTGTTTCCTGGCAGCCGTACTAAGGGCTGAGGACTTTAAGGTCCTCATTTGGAGGGGCGGAGCCCTCTGTGAGTTCAAAGCCAGCCAGGGGACATACGGAGCTCCAGGACAGCCAGGGCTACATAGTAGCAGTATGTAGCAGTTGAGGCAGAGACAAGTTCAGGGCATCTTCACGAGGCCAAGTTCTTTTCAGGAAGATCATCACCTGCAGCGAGAAACACAGTCACCATCGACCTCAGGCTCAGGATGGAGTCTGGGATCCGACCTGCCTCCCCCTTCTCTTTGACTCCCTGGCCCCGTTTCTCAGCCCTGTGTTCCACGAGGCTTCACTGTGGCCTTGCTCATGCTTTAAACGATTCACTTTCTACCATGGTGACAGTTATAAAATTGTCATGCTGTGCTCTAATGATGGTGCCACAGGACATCTTACCACCCTACAGTCTGTAGCCAGCTCCCAGCCTTTGACAAGCGAGGAACTAAACAAGTAAGTGTTGGAGTAAATAATATTTCCAGCGAATCGACAGATATTTATGGAGGAATGCTGTGGGATGGTCTGTATGTCAAATGTGTTGCTGATTGGTCAATGAATAAATCACTGATTGGCAGTGGCCAGGCAGGAAGTATAGGCGGGACTAACAGGAAAATTGAGAGAACAGGAAGCTGGGAAAAAAGAGACACTGCCAGCCGCCATCAGGACAAGGAAGATGTAAAGTACTGGTAAGCCACAAGCCACGTGGCAAGGTATAGATTAATAGAAATGGATTAATTTAAGCTGTAAGAACAGTTAGCAAGAAGCCTGCCACGGCCATACAGTTTGTAACCAATATAAGTCTCTGTGTTTACTTGGTCGGGTCTGAGTGGCTGTGGGACTGGCGGGTGACAGAGATTTGTCCTGACTGTGGGCCAGGCAGGAAAACTCTAGCTACAAATGGCGTCCAACGTGGTGGCAAGAGTTTCCACCTAAAACCTGAGAAAAAAGATTCTAAAACGGAGCTAAAAACAGTTCCTAATTGTCTCTCTCAAATGAGCGGCAGCTGCCAGTTTGAGCTACTGGCGGGTTGCTGGCGTGCGCGCTCGACCTGCAGTATGGCGGGAATGAAGTCTCTGCAAATGGCACATTAAGCTGCATTGTGGATTTAGCCTTTGCTAGTACAAAACAAAAAAAGAGGTTTCTGAGCTACATGCTGCTTGGATAAAAGCATAGACCCACGATAGCTCCCAGAGGTGGTGGTAAAGTACCACGCCATGTTGGGAAGCTGAGGTGGGCGGAGCCAGCAGCCACAGCTGCTGCAGCTTAAAGCAACAGATTCATAATAAGACAGATTCAGATGTAATAGTTTAAAATGTGTGTAAAATATACGTAGGCTTAAAAGAGACAAAAAAAAGGTGATATATACAGTATAGAAACAAATACATGGTTTTAAAAAAAATAAAGTCTTTAAAGAGACAGTAAAATTAATATAAAAAATAAGCCACGTAGAGATGACTATTACACAGAGAGTCTGGATTGTGTTGTCTTTGGGATTCTTAACTACAGAGAGATATTTGATTGTAAAGGAAGCTGAGTTAAACCAGTATGTATATTTTAAAGATACTTTGACTTCAAAATTTGGATGTAAGGATATGTTGCTTTGGAAAAGAGTCTCTTTTGTTTCCACAGAAAGCAAGAGGCTATGGATTTGTTCCAGATTAAGACACATCAGGTTTGACCAGCCAAGACCACCTGAAAGGTCTCCGATGACACCATGGCCCAGATGATCCAACATCCAGAACCGTTTCAAGGCAACTGGCTCAGATGATACAGCCTCACGGACTATTCCATGATCCTAAAATTTTCTTTGTTTCCCCAGAAGATACAGCGCCCCCCTCCAGCAGGAAGTAGTAAGAGAAGCTACGCCCAAATTCCTAAATATACCAAGCTGACTTTGGAGATGTGTAAAGGTTAAAACCTTCCTTTTTAAGAAAAGAAAAGGGGAGGTGCTGTGGGATGGTCTGTATGTCAAATGTGTTGCTGATTGGTCAATGAATAAATCACTGATTGGCAGTGGCCAGGCAGGAAGTATAGGCGGGACTAACAGGAAAATTGAGAGAACAGGAAGCTGGGAACAAAGAGACACTGCCAGCCGCCATCAGGACAAGGAAGATGTAAAGTACCGGTAAGCCACGAGCCATGTGGCAAGGTATAGATTAATAGAAATGGATTAATTTAAGCTGTAAGAACAGTTAGCAAGAAGCCTGCCACGGCCATACAGTTTGTAACCAATATAAGTCTCTGTGTTTACTTGGTCGGGTCTGAGTGGCTGTGGGACTGGCGGGTGACAGAGATTTGTCCTGACTGTGGGCCAGGCAGGAAAACTCCAGCTACAGAGGAATTTCTAAATACCAAGGTATGTGCTAACCTCTACAGATAAAAATCATTAAGAAGGGGCTTCTAGTCAGGCTTGGAGGTGCATGGCTTTGATTCCAGTGTTCGAGAGGCAGAGGCAGGCTTCTCGTCATAAGGCTATAAGCTAGGAGAGGTCCCAGCCTCCTCCCTTCACACTCCATGGAAAATTATAAAAGTCCAAAGAAAACCTGAGTCTGAGGGACTATATAGAGACTCAGGAAGTATCCAGATGCCCATAGGAAGTTCTGTGCAGGAGGCAGCAGCAGGGTGTGTGTGTGTGTGTGTGTGTGTGTGTGTGTGTGTGTGTGTGTGTGTGTATGTGTGTATGTGTGTGTATGTGGGTGTGTATTTTTGTTCTTGTCACCCCCCCCATGTTGTCCTGTGACAAACCTGTCTTTCCCAGCGCCTCTGTGGCAGAGTCAGCAGCACATAAAATATCTCGGCTTGCAGGGAACCATCAAGAGAGAAATGAAGCCCTGCCGGGCAATGACGCAGCAAGATGGCAGAGGGAACCCCAGTCCTCAGCTTCCCACAGAAGCACTCATTCCAAAAAATGGGCAAAGGATGCAAGCCAGAAACGACCAGAAAAGAACAATGGAGCCCAAAGAGGCTACAAGGGAAGATGGTCACAACTAGAAGTGACTAAAGGAACGTGAACAGCAGCAGCGTGTTCCTTTCCACACATGACAGCGTAAGAGCAAGGAGACATGATGGAAACATAGCTGTGAACACTGAAGGAGACTGGACAGGCCTGGGGTGGACGTGGCTGTGGACACTGAAGGAGACTGGACAGGGCCGGGGTGGACGTGGCTGTGGACACTGAAGGAGACTGGACGGGACTGGGGTGGACGTGGCTGTGGACACTGAAGGAGACTGGACAGGACCGGGGTGGACGTGGCTGTGGACACTGAAGGAGACTGGACGGGACTGGGGTGGACGTGGCTGTGGACACTGAAGGAGACTGGACAGGGCCGGGGTGGACGTGGCTGTGGACACTGCAGGAGACTGGATGGGACTGGGGTGGACGTGGCTGTGGACACTGAAGGAGACTGGGAACTGAGATCAACACAGCTGTGGCAATCGATGGGCAGCACACAGTCAAGGGAAGGGCTGCATGCCCAGCTCCCTGCACCTGCTTCCTAGGGTCCATGCATCCCAGAGCTGCATGTCCATGTGAGAATAGTGAAAGGTAATGGGACACAACCTAGGTATCCCAGAGGGTGTAGAGATGGATGGTTAGAGCAGAACCACATTGAACAATTGAAAGCAACGGACTAGAGGTTCAAATTAGACGTGGAGTGGGAACCATCTGAGCTCACCAAAGCTGCAGGCACAGTGAATACTTACACACATTGCACACTGTAACCGTATGTAATGGAAACTCACTGAATACATGAGTGTGTTTACATGTGGTATCAGGGAAGAGGTTAGTCCTGGGAGTAAGGGAACAGAGGAGCAAACAGAGGAGTCTGAACAGGGATGCCCTCACAGTGGAGTGGTGACTTAACCTTGGCCCTGAGGTTCAAGGTGAATAACAGTAACAATGAAGGTGACTGAGAGGCGCCATCATCATGGAGAGATCACTATCCAGTGGGAGAATTTAAAAACATAAGTATTAGAAATATAAGTGTTTTGATAAATACAAGGCCATAAGGGAATTTTTATGTGAGCTTTGCCATCAGTGGATCCAAGGAGAGATGAGAAGCTGTGTATCAACCCCACATCCCAGCATCCCGTAAGTGTGTGCATGCGCAGGACAGACTGGATCCAAGACTAGACTGTGGTTGAACTTGGTCTCTTTCTTCCTAAAAGGGAGCCTAGGACAATGGTGAAGCTGTTTTGGGTCCAGACAGTCTGTGTGGCCTTGGTGACGGTGCTCAATGCTCTCGTGCACACAAATGCTGTAAGCATCTCTCAAGCATCAAACCACAGTGACGTTAATACCATCACGTCGAGGAGGGATAACACTGGGCTGTAAGTCAGATGCTCAGGGTAATGCCCAAGCCTTGGGTTCTCTGGGTTGTCTCACATAGCTCTGCCCACTAACCCCGGAGAGATCTGTGTCCACTTCATCAGTGTTCCCTCCTGTCTGGACAGCAGGTGTGGACTCCCTCCTCTGTCCTCTGGCTGCATCCTAACATCCCCACCTCCACAGTTACTCACAGGGGTCCCTGGGTCCGGGGGTCATGGCTGGAGTACAGAGCCCTTATGATGAGCACACTGCCAACGATGATGCCCACCAGCCCCACCACCAGGCCCAGGGCGCAGACTGCAGTCTCCATTGTCTCCGTCACCTGGACTGACTCCTGCACTTCTGAGGGAAATGAGGAGGTGCAGTTAGGACAGTGGGGTGCTGGGCATGAGGTCCTGGGAGCAGAGGCATGGGGGCAGGGGGCACTGCTTACCCCAGTGGCTGAGGCTCGGCTCGCCCAGGCCCCAGTGCTCCACCCTGCAGTCATACATGTCCTCGGCAGTGGGAATGAAGGTCAGGTAGTGGAACTTGTGGAATCTGAGTTCTGTGCTGGGCAGAAAGACCGTCTCAGAAGTCCCTTCAGTGACCAGCTGCCCGTTACGAAGCCATGTGACGTTGAGCACTGGGGGGAAGAACCTGTCGATGTGGCAGATGAGGACGTTGGGCTGGCCCAGCTCCACTGGGTTCTTGGGGAACACAGCCACCTCGGGAGGCTCTGGAAAGAGACAGAACCTGGTGAGTTCTGGGTGAGTCACCGAGCTCCCACCCAGCATCTTCTGTCTCAGGCTCAGAATTCAAGTCACCTCTGGGGTCCAGAGTGAGAGCCGGGAGACGCCTTCCACTGAGCTACCTCCCTCAGCTCGACCTCTCATGAGTGGGAAGAGAAGACAGGCTACCAGCCCCCCACTTACGGCAGGGAGCCCGGCCACTCCAAGGAGGGTCCCTCAGCAGAGGGCGTTGGCGACTCCCATTCTGAGTGTGGGCCAGGGCCCTCCCAACCCTCCCACTGGATGGCAGAGGAGGAGACTAGAGAACCCGCACCACTGGGGACCTGGGTGACGTTGTGTCTCTGGATCAAGGCTCTGAGATTGTTCTTCAGGCTGAAGATGTAGGGCAGAGCCTCCTGGGCGTCAAATGCGTAGACCGTGCTGAACTCCTGCAGGCCCCAGACCGTCTCCTCCCTGTCAATAGAACTGCGCATCGCCGTCAAACTCGTACACGCATTCGCCCGACGGCTTCTGCGTCTGTGCAAAGATGTCATACATGGCTACGTGGTCCGCTGTATAAACAAGAGAGAGAAAAGTGAGACAAATGTAAGAACTATTCCATAAGTGGTGAGGCAGGGGAATGGCTGGATTTATTAATAAAGTCAGAAGAGGCCAACAGGGGAAATGGGGGGAGAAGGAGCAAGAGCAAACAGTTACGAGGGGGAAAGATAGAGAGACTGCCCCTGCTCACTCCCGGGTGGAACCCCGTGACTCCGCAGGGGTCCTGAACCTCTCCGGAGAACTCACCCGAGCAGTGCCAGGCATCTGCTAGTAGCCTCATGTGGATGTCACAACACCCCCACCCCACCCCCAGAAGCAAGCAAGGAAACTGAGAGGATAGGGGACCTGTCGCATCCGGTCACACAGCGATGCACAGCTAGGAGGGAGCCCGGCTTCTCCCCAGAGCTCTCGGTTCCAGAGCTGCAGATGTGAGATTGGGTTTACACTGAGGAGGTGGAGGCACAGGCGTGCTGGTTCCTTATTACAGCAGAGGCGGGAAATAGAAAGTTGAGGGGAAAGCTCACTGCGCTGTAGGGCTCTTTACGGTCTCCGTGTTTCTGTTTCAGTTCATGAGTTCACATCTGCAGCGTGTGCTAATATCATGACTTCATGTTTGTTTTTGTTTTTGTTTTGTTTTACCTTGGGTGCATTAAATCCAGCAGGATGGATTTTGACAATGGCTTCAAACTATTTTTTAATGTATTTTTTTAAATTTATTTATTATGTATGCAGAGGAGGGCACCAGATCTCATTACAGATGGTTGTGAGCCACCATATGGTTGCTGGGAATTAAACTCAGGACCTCTGGAAGAGCAGCCAGTGCTCTTAACCTCTGAGCCATCTCTCTAGCCCTATTTTTTTAATTTTTCACTTTTGTTTTAAACAGAATTATAGAAGTTGTTGAATTTGAAATCCTTGTGTGGTTTGATTTTTTGTTTCTTAGTCTTCATTAGTTGGTAATAAATAGCACACAGAAGACAGACACAAGACAAGCACAAGACAAGCTGCCATCATTAGCAATAACCTGATGAACACATGAGTGTCTGGACTTGGAATGGTGGGGAAAGAGAGTGCAGAGGACTAGGGTTCCCCGCCTCTTCCCTGTGGATCCCAGGCCGCAGCAGGTCTATTCATGGACTGCACAGCAGCAGTGAGAATCTTCTCTCAGAAGGATTTCAGGTTCCTCGTGAGCCAGAGGAATCTTCTTCATAAAACATGGTGAAAAAGGAGATAAAAACCATCAAAGTACCATTTAAAAGTAGCTTATGCCTTGGCGTGGTGGCGCACGCCTTTGATCCCAGCACTCGGATGGCAGAGGCAGGCGGATCTCTGAGTTCAAGGCCAGCCTGGACAGCTGGGGCTACATAGAGAAACTTTGTCTCGATCGACAAATAAATAAATAAATGAATAAACAATAAGGGCTGGAGCAATGACTCAGCAGTTAAGAACACCGACTGCTCTTCCAGAGGACCCAGGTTCAGTTCCCAGCACCCACATGGTGGCTCACAGCTGTCTGTAACTCCTGTTCCAGGGGATCTGACACTCTCACACAGACATCATGTGGACAAAACACCAATGTATATAAAATACAAATAAATAAATTATTTTTAAAAACTGGCTTACACTTTTTAAACATTTTCACAGATTCTGAGGTCCAAAGATCTGTCAGATATGACACAACTTATTTTCCTCCAAAAGGTGCTTTCATACTCGCCTAGTATCACAGGCCTCTAATCCCAGCCACAGCTGAGGCAGGAGGATTTCAAAGTCAAGGCCAGTCTGGACAATTTAGTACCAGACTGTCTCAAAATAAAAAGTACAAAAAGCTGGAGGGGCCTCAGATGGCTTAGAGGTGGGGTACTTGATCAAAATGCATGGGGTTCAGTCCTCAGTACTTCTCACACTAAGACATTATCATCCAGAAAAAAATATGCTAAAAACCTACTTACTATAAGCCAAGGCATGGTAGCTCAGGCTTGCAAGTCCAGCATTTGGGAGGCTGAGGCAGGAGGATAGCCCACAAGTTCAAAGCCATCCTGAGCCAGAGTGAGACCCTATATCAACACACACACAGAGAGAGAGAGAGAGAGAGAGAGAGAGAGAGAGAGAGAGAGAGAGAGAGAGAGAGAGAGAGAGAGAGTCAGTCCAAACAGAAATGTGACCTGGTTCCTGTCCCCAACACTTACACTGACTGCAGGGGACAGACATAGGACAGACAGTGCAGAACTTGCGGCAGGCACCGAATGGTGCCCAGAAAGGCGCAGTTCCTTGTGAGTGAACTGCTTGGACTGAAGCTGTGGACAAGAGGAAATGCCATTTCTCACTTTGGGAAGAATGGTCAAGGCATTTGGAGAACCACAGAGGCTTCTGTAGTGAACTTCAGACGTGGAGCAAGAGACAGACCAGTGAGGTCAAGACAGACTTCTCCACCTCAGGAGTTTAATGTCAGCCTGAAAGTGAGGAAACCTCTGAAAGATTTGACAGGGGAGCGACATCTGACTGGTGATTTAGGAAGGTCTCGGTGGCTACAGTGTGCAGCCTGAAAGGCAGATGGCTAAGGAAGCAAGACCTTAGCGGCAAGAAGAGAGGAAGTGAGCGGTGAAGAAGAAGAAGAAGAAGAAGAAGAAGAAGAAGAAGAAGAAGAAGAAGAAGAAGAAGAAGAAGAAGAAGAACAACAACAACAACAACAACAACAACAACAACAACAAGAAGAAGGAGAACAAGAAGAAGAAGGAGGAGGAGGAGGAGGAGGAGGAGGAGAAGAAGAAGAAAGAAAATAATCCATTTGACCCATGCCAAAGACACTGATGCTACAAGAAGTGAGGAAGAGAGACAGAAAAGTGCCAAGTAACTTTCTTATTCTAGGCTGGTCAATTTATTTTTCTATCTACTATCTGTCTGTCTGCCTGCCTGCTTGTATGTCTGTCTATTATCTATCTATCATCTATCATTTATCATCTATCTATCTATCTGTCTGTCTGTCTGTCTATCTATTGATCTATCTATCTACCTATCTATCTATCATCTATCATCTATCTATCTATCTATCTATCTGTCTGTCTGTCTGTCTGTCTGTCTATCTATCTACCTATCTATCTATCACCTATCATTTATCATCTATTTATCTATCTGTCTGTCTGTCTGTCTGTCTGTCTATCTACCGATCTATCTATCATCTATCACTTATCTACCTTGCTCTCTCACTCTTCCTTTATTTTTGTCACTTTTAAAAAATGTTTCACTTGCCAGGCGGTGGTGGCGCACGCCATTAATCCCAGCACTCAGGAGGCAGAGGCAGATGGATCTATATGAGTTCGAGGCCAGCCTGGTCTATAAAGCAAGTTCCAGGCCAGTTTGTTACACAGAGAAACCCTGTCTCAAAAACAACAACAACAAAACAAAAACAAAAAACAAAGACAAACAAAAGCCCTAGGTATTTATGGTGTATAACTCATTATGTGGAAACACTGTAGAGTAGTCCAGTCACACTGATTACCAAATTGTTGCCTCTAATCTCTAATGTGTCACTCTTGTGGTGAAGTTGCTTAAAATCCACTCATTGAGCAGTTGGTCTCGGACCCCGTCTAACTCCTGTGACCAAAATCTCCCTGGCACACAGCAGTCCCCGGTTCCATTATGAGGGACCCAACCTGAGTGAGAGAAGACACCGGCTCCACATGGCGCTTGGGGTATGACGTCATCTTAGTGGAAATGACACATAGATAGTCGTACATTAGGGTTGGTCTTAGGGAATGAGTTTGGGCCGGAAACCTAAGGGTTTTGTTTTTGTTTGTCTGGTTTTTGTCAACTTGACACAAGCCAGGGTCATCTGGGAAGAAGGAAATGAAATTGAGAAAATGCCTCCATCTGATTGGCCTGTAAGCAAGTTGGTGGGGCGTTTTCTTGGGTAATGATTGGTGTGGAAGGGCACAGTCCACTGTGGGTGGAGCCATCCCTGGGCAGGTGGTCTTGGGTTGCATAAAAAAAAACCAGGCTGAGCAAGCCTTGAGGAGCAAGCCAGTAAGCAGCACTCCTCCATGGCCTCTGCCTCAGCTCCTGCCTCCAAATTCCTGCCCAGGGATGGATCCACTGACTTCCCTCAGTGATGGATTGTAATCTATAAGGAGAAACAAACCCCTTCTTTCCCAAGTTGCTTTCAGTCATGATGTTTATCACGGCAACAGAAACAGGAGAGACCCCAGGGAGAGTGTGTAAAGTAAGAGCTGGAAAGATCCGAGGCCACAACATTAGCATTAGATAATTAAGCAGTCAATTCAAAGGAAGAGGAAGATGCAGGGAAATGGGGGCGGGGATAAGTGTGTTAACAGAGGTTTAAGGTCAACAATAGACAAACTTGGATTGAATTCAAGTAGTCTGGACTTGGTGGCACAGGCCTGAAATCCCTGCACACTCAGGAGCCTGAGGCAGGAGGATTGAGAGTTCAAGGCCAGCCTGAGCCATATGTCACATGTTCCAAACCAAAAAGCACCCACTGGGTTGACTCTTACATAGAGGTTACAGGCATCCAACGTGGGAGCTTACAAGAGAGTTCACAGAGAGCGCCCCGGCTGAAAGGGGGATGTTGGGCACAGGCAAGGACAATTTTTATTTCGTAGTTCATGTTTTTAAAGCAAAGAATCTATCTGCATGTTGAGAGAAGCCAGCGAGAAGGGAACCCCGCAAAGGCAGTGATGAGGGTTGGGCCTATAGCTCAGCAGGAGGGTGCGTGTCCAGCATCTGTGGAGACCTACGCTCAACCCCTGGTGCTCACACACACACACACACACACACACACACACACACACACACACACAATATCGTGATGAGTTAATTTTTATATTTACATGAAAATGTGTTTGTTAAGGTATTTATTACAATGCAAGACTTAAAATAACCCAAGTGACCATCGTGGGGAACTGGGTACCACGTTTCTCCCCAGTCTCATCCCCTTTTGCTTCTATCTATCCCTGAATTCCTATCTTAAATTAAACTCTGTGGAGCTGTGCTGGTTAGTCTAATCATCAACTTGACATAACCCAGAACCACCTGGGAAGAGAATCTCAATGAAGAATTACCTAGATTCCAGTATGTGAGAGGCAGAGGCAGGTGGATCTCTATGAGTTTAAGGCTAGTCTGGCTTTCATTGAGAGTTTCAGGCCAGCCAGAGCTACAAAGGGAGACCCTCTTTCAAAAAAGAAAAAGAAAAAAGAAAAGAGTTACCCAGAGTAGCAGAGGCAAGGCTCTGTGTGGTGGGTCAGGATCCTAAGGGGTCATTACTGAAGATGAAGTCTCAGTTGCACTGGACCCTAGGATGTTGGAGATGTTACAAGGGTCATGTGACCTCTCCTGTGAGAGCTCCAGGTGTAGAGTGGAGCTGGCCTAAGAGACAAGTTGAGTGTGCTGTGGCTGGTGGAGATGGAGAACTGGGACTACTCAAGGCCTTTGGGGCCCAGAAGATTATGAATAAGTCCAAGATTCCAGATACAAAGCTATTGGATTTGGAATCATACTGCTGGATTTTGGTTTTGCTTTGGGGTGATTGTTTTTATGCCCCAGTTCTTCCTTTTGGGAATAAGAATGGTTAGTGCATAACTTTATTTTTATTATATACATATATATTTTACTTATAAAATATGCTATATATATGTAAACATACTTGGTTTTTCAAGATGGTTTCTCCATGTAGCCCTGGCTATCCTGGAACTTGCCCTGTAGACCAGGCTGGCCTCGAATTCACAGAGATCCGCCTGCCTCTGCCTCCCAAGTGCTGGGATTAAAGGCATGCACCACCACCGCCCAGCCCTTATTTTATATTTTATAGAGCCTACAAGTTAAGAGAGTTTAAACTTTTGAAACTTTGAAAAATTTAAAGATATTTGGCCTTATTTTATATTAACATGAGACTTTTAGGACATGGGTGGAAGGTTTATGTATTCAAGGGAGGTGTCTGTGTGTTGAGTTGACAAGACACGTGTTGCACTGGTTAATCTCACCCAACAATTTGACACAACCTAGGATCACGCAGGACAAGAGTCTTGATGAGGGTTGTCTAGATCAGGTTGGCCTCTGGGCATGTCTATGGGAGATTGGCTTGACTGATAACTGATGCAGGAAGACCCAGCCCACTGTGGGTGGCACCATCCCCCAGGCAAGGGTGCTGAACAGTTTAAGGAGAAAGTGGCCAGGCATGATAACACACACTTTAATCCCAGCACTCGGGAGGCAGAGGCAGGGGGATCTGTAGCTTGAGTTTTCCTGCCTGGCCCACAGTCAGGACAAATCTCTCTCACCTGCCAGTCCCACAACCGCTCAGACCCGACCAAGTAAACACAGAGACTTATATTGGTTACAAACTGTATGGCCGTGGCAGGCTTCTTGCTAACTGTTCTTACAGCTTAAATTAATCCATTTCCATAAATCTATACCTTGCCACATGGCTCGTGGCTTACCGGCATCTTCACATGCTGTTTCTCATCGTGGCGGCTGGCAGTGTCTCTCTGACTCAGCCTTCCACTTCCCAGCTTTATTCTCCTCC